GCCTCACCAAGTCATTTGTCTGGAGGCATTGGCTAATACGAACATGCTGCCAAGCAAGCTAAAGAGGCACTTAGAAAGTAAACATCACTTCTGAGAAAAACCCTGGCTACTCAAAAAGAGTGCTGGCTCTGACTCAAGCATCCTCCAAAGCTTAAACATCAGATACTCCAAGACCCAAGTACTGATCAGCCACAACAACCTGCTGGCCTAAGATCATGTAGGCACCAAAAGTGCTCAATGAAACCTAAAGGTTCCCAGTTTAAACTTGTAGCAAGACGATCAGTGTTACATCTTCTGGTGTATTTCCAGATGAGTAAAGGTTCTAGACAACTTTCAGTTATTTTGATATATATGCTTACAATCTGAGCAACGCTTCTGATTTTGAGTCTACCATATCTGCAACCAGTCAGTCTCAAAATAATTTAGCAATTGTTTACTTCTTAAAATCTGCATAGAGCAAAATCTGTCTACTAGCTGGTAAGTTAAGCTTAAGCAGACCGTTTAACTTTAACAATAACAACGCCAACAACAATAACGGTGGTTAACACTGTTGCCTCACAGCATAAAGGTCAAGAGTTCAATTCCATCATCATGGAATGACAACAACAACAGGCAAACGTGAAAAATGCTGTGATGGATTAATTTGATCATGTCTCTACAGGGTGGTCATTATGTTGATCTTTAAAGACTTAATAGACAGAGTAAATAAGTACCTGTAAGGTGGCAAAACAGGCTCTGTATTAAAACTACAGTTCAGAAAGCTTTGGAGAAGGTTTGGCAGCAGTATAAAGAAAAAATGTCATTTAAAACAAATGGACCCAGACATCCAGGGACTCTGGTTTGGTTGTATGAACAATGAAAGTGTGACTTGAAAAGCTCTGTTATGAAGGCAGATGACACAGGAACAGTCTGTAATGTTCTTTTTGGTGGCCAAATTCACATTAGTTCTTGAACTTTTTCAACAGGCCACCTTTACCACTGTTGCTCATAATTTTTTTAATCTTTTGATTTCTCATTCAGTCCACTTGGTTTTCTTTCTGACTTTTTTTTGACAAAACATGAAGCTTTTGATTCTTAACTTATGGGTCTGAAAATGTAAGCCAGTGCTGAGTTTTTTAAACAAGCATTCTCTCTAACAGCCAGCAGGGGGTGTCTCATCTGGTTGTAAAAATGTGATCGTGTAGAAGCCTATAGGAAAATGTACCTTGTTCTGTAAGATCACTTAACAGTTAAAAAGGTCTCCACTGCTAGTTTCAAGTCTTACTAAACACAACATGATGCTCATTTTGTAAATTAATGACCATATTAGAGTTAGAAAGAAGGGTGAAACGGGGTAAATATGCTTATCTTTATATAAAATCTTTGACTGTTAATATAAACCAATCCTGGATTTTTGAAATAATTCCCTTCCCTCCTCTTGAAATGTCTCTCTCTATAACTCACAAGAACAACCGTAATCCTTTCTAGTGATTTTTCCACTGTGTGCATCTCCATCGCTGACATGCATGCAGACATGCTTGTTGCCATGGGTGCTGTGTGAGCCTCAGCAGGCTGCCTGCTCCATTTACTCGTTTTCTACCTTGTTGAGGATGAAGCGTACGCCCACACTTCCATCTTTTTATTCCTCTGGAAACTTAACAGGGCGTCAGAGGGCCTCGACAAGCACTGAATCAGTGTGTCAGACTCCCCACTTAACAACCACACAGACACAGTCTGGGCTGGTGAACACAGGTCTTTTTGTTTTACAGCGGTGCCCAAATCCTCCCCTTCTCTTCCAGTGACGTTCCAACTAGAACATTTTCCCTCCATTTTTTTTTTTTTTTTTTTTTGGGACGGGCTTTTTGGGTGTGGTGGCGGGGGGTAATTGTGGGCAGTCATTTGTTACAGGTGCAGACCCTCCATTTTTTTTTTTTTTTTTTTTTTTTTACTGACCTCCTCCTCCAACAAATAATTAAGCAAAGACGAGGCTCAACCTGAAATACACGTCCTCCTTTCAATTGGTTCATGGTATGGACTGTATATAAAATATGCAAATGGACAATGTGATGCCACTTGTTGGCTTTTTGAAGACAATTCTGATGATAAAATGTGCTAATACTAAGATTCATAAGGTTTCAGCGTGCCAGAATCGACATGCTAAATGTGCAGCAGATCCCAGAAGGCCTGGAAATTAAATAACGGGTTCACATAAATCTTTTCAACACTTTGGGATTCTCAAAGTCCCACTGATATCTTCAATTTACATACCTCCTGCTATACATCAATACATGAGACAGCATGGTTCAAAGGGCATTTGTCCCAGTGGTAAAAAAGAAAAGTGTGTGGATTTAAAACACTATCATTCAGAGACAGACACAAAGAGAAGACGTGGGGGGAGTACGGGGTAATCTTTCAATGCTGGGTTTCCCCGACCTGCCTAAAGTCATCCCGCTGGACAAAGAGGGATGCTCAGAAGTTTCTTTTTCCCCCCATCACTTTCTGTAATTTTCATCTTTCCTGCTATTGTGTCTTTCTGACATGAAAGCTTGGCAAGTTGCCTCGCCACCCACACGCTCATATGAACTTACACTTACAGTACGACCCAAATATGAGCGGTTAAATATTTGGTTACCTTGTCCTTGGCTTCACTCAGCTGGTCCTCCAATTCAGAGAAGCTGAAGCCAGCCACCGTGATGAAGTCACCAATCACGGCCACAAACTTATCCCCTCGTTCCCTCGTCCTGCTCTGCTGGTAGTGCAGCTCCTGATGCGGGTAAAACGAGACGAGAGGCGTGTGATTGGTCGGTCTCTGAGGCTGAAGCATGCTTCATTACAATTAGTTTCACTTGAGCTTTCTTGGAACTCGGGTGTGCGTATTTGTGCTGTAGCGCTCGTGTTCGCGTGTGGCAGAAAACATGACATGTCGCTTTCTGTGTCGCAGAGCGTGGAACATTACCAGCATTTAAACACCTCGCCCTGCTGCCCATCTCCGCACTGCTCGAAAACATAATTACAGACAGGAGAAGAACCGATGGGAGGGAGCGTGACACAAACGCACAACAACTTACCGCCTCCAGTGCCTTCAGTCCACTTCTGATACTATGCACTTCTTTTTCCAACTCTGACAAGCTGCAGAAGAAGGAAAGACAAATATGAAGACAAATTTTGTTAGCTGTTTATTTATGTGTGTCATAACTCACATTGTCTGTTGCTTTTTATCAAGAATTTCCTCAACATATTAAAAATCATAAACAATTTTACTCAAGTAACAGCTGACACGGTCCTACTGTAACCACATGCAGTCAGAGGGAGAAATGCTCTTTTCCCTCAAGTGAAATATTGCACACTTACTTGACTTTGGCAGCTTCTGGTACGCTGCCGATGTCCTGCTGGATGTGAAGCGTGTCCGGATAGTTCTTCTCAAAGATCATGATCAAGTAGTGCAACATGGTTATGTTCCTATTGAATAATAAATAAAAAGAAAAATAGAATCAAGCAAAACAGAATTAACCAAAGTAATTTATGGAAGGATAAGGAATAGCCTCCTTTATTTTTGCTCACTTTATTTAAAACACTGGTCTTTGCTATTAATTCCATACTAACTATAAGATACATCAACATATACAGAAATTGCACTGGCACAAGAGTTGCAGTACATAATATTTACTGATAGATGTGCTCAGTGAGTGCACCTGCTGAGCATGGCACAGTTCTGTGCATGCAACTGATGCAAGCAGTGGCTCTCTTGAGTTAGGATTTAGTATAACTTTGCACAATCAACATCAGTATCTGAGGGTTTTTTTTTTTACCATTTAAAGATGACTAATTGCAACATGAAAATGAGACAGAGCTGAGATACTTAATCCTAAGGCAAAGGTGTAAAGTAAACTAACAAAAGGAAACAAATGTACTTGTTTCAGTTGTATTAGGGCTTAAGGTTTTAATTATTAGGGCCGTGGGCTCTTTGACTGACAGGTAGATGGAAACACAGCCAGCTGTGGTTGCTAGCTGCCGGCTAGGATTTAGCTCAGCCTGTTAGATCATTGAACTAGACCTCAGGAGCATGTTTGTGCTGCTGGTGTTCTTTAGATAATTTTTAATGCACCTTTTACTTTTACTGCTTGCTGTGCGGGTAATTGTACTGACAGACCATCTAAGAAGTCTGTTGTCAGCTTTTGGTAAGTGAAATTCTTGGATTTTATTCAGCATTTTATGCACCCATAAGTCCTATAAATGCAACTTGCTAACCGAGATTGCTAAAACAGTCAACTAACCTATCCAAATAAACTAAAGCACTTATCCAAATACAGTCACTCCAATAAACAAGAAGGCCCGCAGCGTAAGTCAACACTTGTAACAAAGTGGGTTAACTGAAGACAGCCCACCTGTCTATGCTGGACTTGGTGTCAGCGATCTTGTTGAGGCTGGAGATCTTAAACCCGAAGGCGTTGCCTCTCTGGCCTTTGTTCATGAAGTTGCCGAAGGCCAGCACCACCTCCAGGACCTGAGTCAAACGTTTGCTCCGGACCACCTCCTTGGACGCGTTCAGGATGGCTGTAGGAAAATGAAGAGGGAGAAAGAGAGAGAGAGGGTTGCAGCTGGAGACATCATTTAGCTAGTGACTGATATGTGTGCACTCTCAGCTTTTCATATTACATAACACTCGGGGCTTTCACCATCTCCTTCCATTCTGTTACTCTACTCAAACCCACAGGCACGCATACAACCTAAAAATCACCATCCTTTCCTTCATTTCTAACATCCTTCATGAGGAGTGATCAATATTTCCCAAAACAACTGGGCAGCTCGGTGGGGAAACCCATCGAGTCCTTCCATCCATCCATAAAACAGCGGGGGGAGGGAATATTCCAAACATAACTCTGTAGTGTCAGCCTTTTTCCTCCAGAGAGCTGCAAGGTCTGGCAAAGTGCAGGTGGTTCCCTGTCTCCACAGAGGAAACCTCAGTGTGAATGTGAAAATCATTAACAAGTTTCATCTTGTTATTGTTACAGTTCTTTGTGCTGTGATGCAGCATGGGAATCAGTCTTCTGGCTCTGCTGTCAGGGTTCTGCTGGCTGAACACCGCGCTGTCTTCTGAAAGGCTTCTATTGAACCTGCTGGGTGGTCCAGGGAAATATAGACCCATGCAGAGTATATGACAAAGCAACATGAATAATAATAGGGGATGAACACTTTATTACGGTCATCCACAAAGACTGTGGTCTGCAAATATTTTGGGATTCTGGAGGTCTGAGTGGATCCACCAACTCACAGGATGCCTGTACTTTATTTCCAGTCCTTCGAGGGATCAGAAGCAGAGGCGCCGAATTCATTTTAGAAGAGGGGATCCAAAAAAAGCAAACAAATAAAGTCTGTATCCAGAGAGATCTGGACCGGAAGTGAAGCTGCTGTTTATGACTAAAAAGCATGTTTTACTACACCGGTGACATTTTTAGAATGTGACCAAAGTGAATAAATACTGTGGACACGACATGCAAAATGTCACTTAAGTAACAGTAACAGTGTTACACACGCGCTGTATGTGTTGTTAATAAAAGCATTTTGCCCGTATTCATTATGTGTGTTAATGCTACATAAAACACAATCTCTGCCAGCTGTGCAAGACATTAAAGACAGGAGTCAAATCTACTTATTTAAGGTATTTTTCACCACTATGAGGAAATAGTAAAAAAACAAAACAAAACCAAAAAACGGGGCCATTTAAAAAATTATTCCTTTTTTAAAAATAATTGCAAAAAGAAAAAACGAACTCAATTGACGGTTTAAGTTCAGCAGTTTGACTATTGGTCCAGACCTACACTGAAAGAAATTATTCATTTATTTTTTGTGCTTCTTGGCTCCTATTTCAATCACTGGTGATTAGCTGTAACATTTTACTTGTTCTCAGACGATCTGACAAATGTCCCACAGCACACACAAACTGAACTACCAGTCAGCAAATAAAAACGTTGCTCTCATAAGTGATGTGATGCTCATCAAAGGCCAGAAAAAAACATTCAGGCCAGCAGAGCAGTGTCTTTAAAGTAGATCTGGCTCAAAGAGACTCAGTCACGACACACCCTGTGCATGCACGTGCATGCACACATGGCTATGAACCTCACTGGAAGCCTTTTCCCTCACTCTTTGAAGTTAGCTGCAGCATTTACAAGAGACGCTCTCCGCTCTTAACATGGGCCAGCTTTCCAAAACAGCCTCCCTGGTAACCTGAAAGCTGGCTTGATGGGAAAAAAAACCCCATACATAGTTGACCGCCCTCTCGCATCATGCACACGCACACACAAATTTAACACAAAGGTAGGATTGTGAAAAAGCTTTGGTCTTGGTGTTCGCGGCTGATGACATTTCTAGTGTGGGAAACGTTGTTTTGTTTCTGGGTGTGTAACTGTGTGCCCTAAAAAGAAAATAAGTGCTCGAAAATGTAATCTTCTTTTCCATTTTTCTGTCAAACTGCGTCAAAAGACTGTTTGACGACAGTTCTGATGCATGAATCGAATCTAAGGTCAACTAATATTTCTGGCTTTCTAAGGAAAAGCTGCCATTATGCAATATTTTATGACTGTCTCCACCCCATCTGAAGCAATCAGCTGCAAGCTCCGTTCTTGCTCAACATAATCTGTAAAAATAGGTCACAAATACATAGCTCCATTTTATGGCAAATGTGTGTGTGTGTGTTTTTGTTTTTCCTCTCATTACTCAGCAGCAGCACTGAGGGGCACTGGGATTACAGTTCGGTTTTAAAAGCCAAATAATCTAGTTAATTTTTCACTGTTTGCTTTTCACTGTTTATATAATTAAACATTTTTTTAACCATATTTCTCTTTTCCTTTAGCTGCCACAAAATTTAAATCCCTGCTGGATTTGGTTTCCTCACGTCAGCGCACATGTGCAGCTATGGTGCAGAGAGAAGCAGCAAGAAAAGCCTTGATGAAAACATGAAGCAAAATTTTCATGCACATAGAAAGCCAATGCAATGACGGGGCATTGGCACAAGTTGAGCAGGGCAACAAAAATGGAGGTGAATTCCCGTTTGCACGAGTGAAACTGTCACTGATGTGTTTTATACAAAAATGGGGATCCAAGAAACAAAGTTCATGTTTACATAACCTTACAGTGGCCTCTGAAGTGTTTGTTCTTACCTTCAACCTTAGGCTTTGTTTCAGCAAGACGCTCTGCAAACTTCTTCTTAAAGAACAGAGCCTGCAGTCTCTGCTGGTAATGGTCAATTCTGTTGAGGAGAAAAGAGTGACAGAGGGGGAAAAAGGGGGGAGGTGAGTTACATCTGTCTCCAAGGGAGTCCAAGTTCAAAGCTAGAAGTCACTCAACTGTGCAAAACTCCCTCTCTCAGTTTTCACTGCATTATCATCCAATAAGCACCTATCAAAATGGAGAGTTGACAAATGGATTTGTTAAACTTGCTCAAAAGTTCACCAAAGGAGGGGGTGGGGGGATTTCAAAGAGGGACTCAGGATATTAAATTGCAAAAAAAGGAACTAACTAATTCCCAGATGTGTTCCTCAGACCAGCGGATATGTGGTCAAAAGGGTAGTAGCAGAGGAAACAAAGCAGAAAGGTGATATTTCATTAAAAGGAAACAAACAGATTTATCTGTCAGGAAAAAAAGAGTTCTGAAAACAAGAACAGCATCCAGGAAAAAGGCATTGATTTATGCATTGGTGTTACTACAGTTGTCAAAACAAGACTAGTTTCTTCAGCTAAAAAAATGAATCACACCCAAGCTTGAGGCTTGTTTGGGATTCCACCCTTGTCTCCGTGCATTGAAAGCTATCAATTTAGCACCCATTCCCTGACTGGATGATCTTTTCATTTTGCATTAAATCTGTTGCAGCTTGTTAGAAATTAAGTTCCTTTAAAATTAGTAAATTAAAACTGCAGTGAAACATATGAATTATACGCCTAACCTAGCATGGATGTTGTTACCTGAAGCCGAGTATCACACTATGCTTACCTGCTCATCTCAAAGAGGAAGCGATCAGCCCGGGCCATCCTCTCCAGCTCATGTTTGTGCTCCTCCAACAGGTCGATATCACTTTTCTCTGGGACAAACTTCAAAAGCTAGAAAGACAACAAGAATCCAAAAGTTCACGCAGAAGACTGTTGGCAGCATTTTAAACGACAGAATCGGGTCTGTTTTAATGCCATGCAGCAACAATATTTAACAATAGATTGTAGCTTTGTGCCTTGTGTACAGAGATTTCACAGGCTGCTCTTAATCTAATCATGAAATTAGCAACTGTAGATAATCTGCAAATTCTTCTTTATTTTACATTTAGACACATTATTGTTAAACTCCATGCAGTGAACAACATCTCATTTTTTTTACTTCTACTCTTTGCGAAATGTTTCACCGTGTTATTTTACTTTACAATAATGCACCAATCCCAAATAAATATATCATTAAGATTTACTCACTATTGCATTCTGCTTTTATTCACTTTTTTTTTTTTTTAACATTGTCTCAGACTCCTTTGAAGCTTGATTATCATCAATAATTACATTTTCTTTCCATAATAAAGCAAGTATAGGGACATTGTTTTGACCCAACCAGTCACAAAAAACCTGAAAAGCTTATTTTCACTGGACCATACCTGCTCCAGCATATCTTTAGCAAGCTCTTCTCTCTCATCCATCTCCAGGATTGCCCTCTTGATTTCTTCATTGCTCATTTTTAATCTAAAGAGTAAAAAAAAAATCTTTATTACAGTAAAAGAATTACTAGTGGACTAGCTCATTGCTCATAATACCAGCCTGGACCAGTGACAAACCCCGGGAACACTGCCAGCTGTTTTCAGTGCATCTGATCACTGAGCCGGGTTGCAATCAATAACAGCATTGTTACTCTGTGCAGCAAACCCTTATTGACCAACTGCCGACCTCATTTGGGTCTAGTCTGTAGCCCAGGGTCATTTGCTATTGACACGAAAAGGAGTTCAGGGACCACGCTGATGTTTTGTCAGACACACAAAGAGCTCAGAAAGCATATGTATTGATCTGTAGAGGGGGTAGAGCTTAAATTCTCAAAAGGGCTTCGGACCAGCGCTATTAGGAGACAGACAAATAGGAGCCATATTGCCAAGTGGATCTTAAATGATGACAATTGATTCAGGTTCAGATGCAGAGGGATTCAAAAGCCCTTGGGTGGGGGACTAGGGTTGAATAAATGCAAGTTAATATAATGTAAGCGACTCAATGTAGAGTCTGCTTGTAGCTGAATGTGTAATAATAGACCAAATTTTCACAGTAGAAATCAGAACATTACTTTCCAAGATGTTGCTTTAGCTATATAATGCTTTCAGATAAAGATGTATGGATTGAGTTACACTCACAGATGGCCTAGGTGTCCATTAAAAACACATTTCTGGCTCTAGATGCATGAGGCCATCATCCCAAGCAGCTCCCACACAGAGTTAGTGCTCTAACCCCTAACCTAATGTTACTTATTTATCAGTGGCCTGTGCTGAGGCCATTTCTTCAGCACTATAAAACTAATTAGCAGATAATTACTGTGGCTGAGTGAGCTCCAACCACTGCAAATACAACAAAGCAAAAAAATAAAATAAAATAAAAACAAAAAACATGCTGCAAGTAGTCCAGAAAAAAAAAAAGCTGGGAAACTCTTGGAAACAGTCATGTTGGACCTAAGCCGAAGGAATTAACTGGAAAAGATAGGTTTCCAGAGAAGATCTGAATATGATTAAAAAAAAAAAGATTAAAAAGGCCTAAGTGAAAAGGTCCGGTTAGAGTTACACTAGGCATGAATCTAGAAATCAGGACTTAAAAGCTACTGGTTTAATGACCCAAGCGAACCAGGCTTAAGAGTGTTCCAGGTCTGACAAATAACCTGAGGCTATACGTTTCACTTGTTTATAATATTTTAAATATTTTTTATAAAATTATTGCTTAATTTAATGAGGAGGTATCCAATATAACACTGTCACCATAGGCAAAAATATTCCTACATTTACTTCTCAACTATCAGGAAATAAGCATGCACACTTCAAAATAAAACCAATAATCTCTTCAGACTGTAGTGGAGACTGGATGTAATAAAAGCATGAAAGACCTTCTCAAGCTCGTTAAAATAAATAAAGAAATAAAAGCCGGCTCATTGAAGAGAATAATCAAATATGAAGCCAACATTCTTGTCTGAGATTTGCATGCTGAGAAGAGTCCGGTGTCAGCGATACATGTATACGTGGGAGGACAAACTCATCATACATGGTATATAGAAGGGAAGGAAAAACCTTTAGCTTTGAAATAACCTGATCTATAAGTCTAATTCAAGAGAAAAATTAAAAAATAAAGCCGGACTTTTTTAGCATAACAGTTACAATTTGTTACAGCATTTACAGAAGACTCACATGTATGTCATACATTAGTGTAATCGGCGTAAGAGTAACTCAAAAGGCAGCCTTGCAAGTTGCAGCGCATCAAGATCTCACAGCAGATGCTAATCAGCTGTTTACTGATGATGCGATACACTATGATTAATCATTCAAGCCGAAGCCCCTTACTTTGAAAGCAGGATGACACAATTCTGTGCACGTCTGCCATCAATGACTGACAGCTCTTTGACCTTCCGCGTGCTGACGTATATGTCATCCATCGAGCCAGTCTCTTTCTGCAGAAAGACAGAAAAACAGATTACGTTTTGCTCGCATAAAATGCAAAGCGTGCACACTGTAACGTCTTTTCCTCGCATCTGCATGACATCTTTAGCTGGTTGAGAGACGACCCCTTCTGAGCGTTTAACAATGTGATAATTTAGAACAGATTCACAAAACTCTGCTTTAAACTACCAAAGACAGTTTGTTGCAGTTGTTTAATCATTTATCAAACTCAGACTAAAAGGCTGCACTCTGGCCAAACACTTTAGTCATTCCCCCGACCTGTTTTTGCAGTTTTCTGAGGCCATAACGCACATCTCATTAAACATTATAAACTCCTTGACTCAGGATGGGAAGGGGCATGAAAACATGTGACACAAGCTGTGGAAAAAAATAATAATAACTCTACAGCAGGTCTTGGGCGAGGACATTTTTTTGGTGAGTCACCATTGCAAATCCAATGCAGGCAAACCTATAAACTTTGCAGAGCAACAGGAAACATGGCTGATAGCTTGATGCAAGCCAGTCAGATATTTCTGTAAGCTCTGCACAAATGTAGTATTAAAATGCACCAGGGGAAAGAACACATGTCTGAGAGGACTGCATGTTAAACGCATTCTATTTATGGTCCGATCTGCTTTCCTCCCTGCCAGAAAACGTTCTTCCTGAGGTCGTTGAGTATGACATTTGTAAAACAGATGTGGCTTGTAAAGAAAATGTCGTTTTTCCATGCCCGTGCTGACCCAAGGTGCCTGGCAGCCAACTGAGGTTGGCACCGGGTTAGGGGGACAACTCCCATTCACTTAAAACTGCCAAAGCCCTCTCTGCACAAGCGGTGAAAGCTATTGTGCCAACTTAACCAAGTGTAACTGGAGACTTTATCTTTTCTAACAGCTATGAAGTAACAATGATGGAAATGTGGTGTTTACAATTGCATATTCAGGCTTTTTCCAGCTGAGATTATGATGAATAATTAAAGAAATTAAAGATGATTATTGTAATTATGGTAATCAACACAATAACAAACAGGCAAGATAAGGAGTAATAAGGCAGTGATGATTGGGATTAATGTGGACCCTCTACTCATTTGTATTGGCACCATTATATTATCCAGTGATGAAAATCAAATCTTTAACACTGGAGAATTATTAACCTTAGTTTAAAGCAGTGGAAAATAATCTGATTTATGAAGCGTGTATGACATAAGATAGTTTGCTGGAAGTTTTCTGCACTTCTAGAGAGATGCCAGGAGAAACCTGAGACCAACTGGCACTTTTAGTTAATTTCTCTGAGGATTTCTTTTCCCAAATTCTCCACCGTGCTCACTGGTTAATGTTGTTGCTAAATTTGGTTTTACTCCACTCATCAAGACTCTTTTGGTGAAGAAAGCTTTGGCTGGAAATGGTGCTAATGAGGGCAGTGAGATTGAACGGAAACTGCAAAACCATGGGCCATAAAACCAAAACAATTATCTTAAACGAAACGGTAAGCCTGTTTCAGCGAAAACAAAACACAAAAACAATAGGTTTTTATACTAGGTGACCACTTTGGTGCCTAAACTGACCAAACAGAGAATGGAAAAAAAAGTAATTAAGATAAGATGGCAAATGGCACAAACTTGTGTTTCCTGGTTAAGTCATTTATCTGATTTGGACCAACACCACATCCTCTGCCTCTCTTTACTGCCTTTGTCATACTAGAGCCTATAATTAAGCTGACAACAAATAGCCAACACAATAACTGCAGTTCCTCTAGTGGCCACTAGTGGACGCTAGCTCCAACAGTGTGTCAAACCGCAAAAACTTGCATGTTTGCAAACCATTTAAGTTTACAGCAAACATAAACAGCTTGGTAAAAAAATATGTTCATAAAAATTTTACAGTGCCTAATTTCTTTTCTTTTTTTTAATAACTTCTCCACCTGGATATTGGCGGCTTTGTTAGAGAGGTATATGCCCACATAGGTAATGGATGCTTGTAGCTGTCTTGCTACACTATGTTTGTGAAGTTGGTGCCTTCTGGATAATTACTAATACAAATATCTAGGAATTAATATTGAGTTGAGTTGTTGGATGTGCAATTGTATGGACCATCTGGTTGGTTTTAATGTTTCCTTAGTCTGTTAGCAAAATTAGCAGATATGTGGGTCCGTCTATTGCAAACAAGCTAGCTTGCATTTGCTGCTAACATATTAGTCCACTGTCATCTAAATATAGTAACTTCTGGCTCCAAAAAGCCAGCATGGTGGTAATGGTGATGCTAATCTTACAGCTTTACAATGTCCCCAAAGCCAAAAGGTGATATCACTATGGCCACATCCATCTTTGATATACAGTCTATGGTTTTTGCATATCAACTCCACACAATGCTAGAGAGATATTTGATTTGACTGATGTTTTTGTTCTAACATATTTAGGTATAATAATGTTGAGAAACGTTCAGGGCTGCAGTGTATGTGTTCTGTCGTTAAGCTATGAGAATGCTTTGGCATTAGGAAACTGCACAGGATAATTTTTGTTTTATTTATGTCATAACTTTTACACTGTATGGCTTATCATTAATATTCAAAATCTTGATGCTAAGGTATGCCGATCAAAGTTCATACATTCAAACCCATTCATTACACTATTCTAGCTGGCTGGCTGCTTCTTTGTTGCAGAAGAGAAGATAACAGAGAAATAAAGATGGTTGAGAAGCTAGAGGATTTAAACTCACCTGTTTGAAGGATTGGTTAGTGAGCAGGTCCTGCCCAGGCAGTCGAAGAGTGCAGAGAGACACAAAAAAAATTGAAAACACATGCAAAGATTAGCACATCAAGCAGAAAAAAGGTGGTGGCTAGAGCAAAGAAATATAACTACGCACACTACAAGCTGAAGCCGGGAAGCCCTCTGTGAGAAAAATCATCTACCGTCCGAGTCATCAGGGGCTCATGAATCTAAACCTCTCTGTACTGCATAAATTTGGTTTCTGTCTTCTCAAAGAGGTCGTGATTGTTATAATGAATTCTTTTGATTGCATCTACATCTGCCTTGACGTGGAAAAACACAACCATGAAAAATGACTGCGGTAACTAATCCTACCGAGGGCAAATGTAAACAAAAGCCCATTTTAAAGTAGAAGGACTAGTGACAAGCTTAAAATAAGTAATTATGCCATGAATAAACACTGCAATACCGTCCAGCTGAATCAAATCTAGCCAAATGGAATCGAGCTGTCAAAGCCAGGAAGATGTTGGGTTTTATGTGGCTACGTCCATAGAGATCTGAATTTAACCGTTGGCCTGCGCCAATAAAAACCTGCTCTGTATAAATAAATACCCACAGTAAATCACTGTCAGAAACAACCTCAAGTGACCCATTCCTCTTTAATAAAAGCCCGCAAAGAGAGGATGGGCTTAAGGCTGTCAGAAGGCTTTTAAGCGACACTGTAAAATACATTACAAAGGAATTCAACAATGTTAATGCTTCAAAAGAGACTTTGCATTGAGCCAACTAATTACAGCAAATTAACATTCCACTTAAACATATTTAAATCTGAGTAATATATCAGTTTGTGTAATTCCACCCAATATTACCACATGACAAGTGGTGTGCAATTAGTTTGTGGCACAGAGGAGTGTAATTGCGTCGCACTGTATGGTGTTGCCACCAAGACAATTATCCTATTAGTGAATGCCCTCTTTAATTTAGCTTTGGTAAAAAGTTTCCTGTATCGTGACTCCTCGTGACTTCAGCGGTTTCCTACATGTTGCCCTGATTCATGAGCCCATGAAGAACCAGTCAAGGTCTCACACAAATGCTCTGCAGACACTAGTGCAAAGCAGCAGCTCTGTGGCATCTCTACAATAAGGCATTCAGCAGTGAACAGCTGCTCATGTTAGCCCGGAGCTGGACCTTGGCGCTCTCAAGAGTTCCTCTTTACACAACCCACCCTTTAGCCTGTCACACACACCTTCACTAATACACACATTTCAAGAATCTAGGCCAATATGGTACTCCACACACACAAAACAATTGCTTATACGCACACACTCCCACACTCACTTCCAAGTCATAAAACTACAAGCCACTTCCAAACAAATCCAAACCTGTTGTCTCTGATATGCTGAAAACATCTTCTCTATGTCTTTCAGGTCGAGGATCTTGAAAGCTCTCAGATCATCGATGTCGCTCCAGATGGTGCCATTGATCATGTTCTAAAAACAGGGTGGAGTGACATAAGAGGTTCATGCGTATACACCGATTCATTCACAATTGCTCATTTTAAAACTGTTGCAGTTCAAAATATGTGGTCAGCATATGTACAAACAATCACTGCGCGCCAAAATTTTCAGGCTTCAGGCTGCTCTAAACACTCCACTTCAGGATGTTTTTTTTCATCCTCTCCTCTGTGGGATGTCACAGAGTGGGGACATCCTTACATGGTTGCTGAGGCAGACAGCTTTGGCTGTGAGCACAGAAGCTGAGTGAAGTGGTAGATGGGACCTAGAATATGTTGAACTGAAAGTGAACTGAACTGAAGATGCAGTGTTACATAAAAAAGGAGAAAAGAAAACCTCTGAGGCTGAAAAAGCAAATGTAGAAGTTCCAAAAAATACATTTCCACAAAGTAGATGTGCCGGTTACCAGAACGCCAAAGTTGAGGCTTCAAAATGAGACTCCATCTTTCCATCTTTTATATACAGTCTATGCCCAGAAGAGTAATACTAGAAGTACTAAAGAGGAAAATCTTCTAATTTTGACAACAATATACAGACATATATATGTCACAAATTAATGGCCGGGCATGTTCACCTTTTATAAACAAATGATAGTTCAACCCTTTTATGATAATGCGCTTACATTTTGGGAAAACCATGGCTTGAATGACCCCACCCATTAGTTTAACAATGCAGTTTTCCATGTTCACTCACCTCTCCTAGTTTGGCCCAGTTGAAAGACTTCAAAGGATGTGAAGGCTGAGGGATGGACTTGGAGTGCATGCTGCTCATCGAGTTAAACGATGAGGGAATGGGAGGAGGCGGAGCTCCAAAAATAGGTGGGGCTCCTGGTGGAGGAGGTGGTGCCCCAGGTGGAGGAGGTGGAGGTGGGGGAGGCGGGCAACTGAATGGTAGAGGAGGTGGGGGTGGAGGAAAGCCGCATGTCATAGGTAGTGGAGGCGGAGGCATAGGGCCGCCAGGAGGAGGAGGGGGAGGTGGGAAGGATACATTTCCGCCCTGCTGGAGGTCAAATGAAAGATCAGTTACTAAATAAACCGTAAAAAACTGATTACAAATTACTTTAAATTGATGAATAAATTAAACATTAAACATAAACATTAGCAGCTCACAGAGATGTCATTGATGCGCGACGACAGGTCCAGCACTTGCTCCCGGGCCGAGCGCAGCTCCACACCTTCACGCTGTAGTTTATCCTTCATCTTGTTCAAAGTCTTCATCATGTCCTCTTTTTCCTGCGTTTTGGTCTCACACTCCCGCTCTTTCCGCTCCAGTTTAGCTAGCAGCTCTGCATGCTCTAAAATCAAACAGTGGTGGAGCAATGGGTTGGCACGGTGTTAGCAGATTTGGATAACAGTGAATACAGGCAAGAAGAAAGATAAAACCATGATGGGTTCTGGTGAACTTTAGCTTTACCTTTTCTGAATTTCTCTGCTTGTTCTCGCCATTGTTTCACCTCATTTTCATTGACCAACCTGTGAGGCAGACAGACAAAAATAAGCACAGAGAAAGTGGACACTGGTCTGCAAAGAATTCTTGCATGTAAGAGGAAACTTCAGTCCAAACATGTCAATACAGGACATTTGAGAAACCCATTGATCAGGGTTACTTCTGCTATAACTTCATCTTTGCGAGAGGGATTGAGATTTATTTCCTGCATTGACCGGTTTGTTGCGGTTTCCTCTTTTAACCATCGTTATACAGCATTAGTGCTCAAATAAAACCTGTCAGTTATCCGTTATGAGTTCTAACTCCTGGTTCTTGGCTCAGATTGAGGTTAAAGTTATGTTTAGTTTTAAAATTAAGGTTAAAGGAGGTAAGGAATGCGCATTGCCGATTATTGTACATGTAAACAAAAAACACAAATATGAGATATAAGTGTAAGTTAATAAATACATTGTATTTAGTGGGATTTTTTTTTTTTATTGTAGGAGAAATAGTGGAAAGTGAAACCTTGAGCTCCACTGGTAGCTTTGGCTAGAGTTGAGAGAAAAACATGTTGCATCATCACTACTCACAGAAAAGCTGTGCTTAACAAGAAGCCTAAATACATAAAATATTAGACAATCAATGCACCAAAAATAGGATTGTAATAATAAATAATATAATTAAAAAAAAATTAATTTTATAATTAAAAATTATATTTGTAATTATAAAATATAATTAAAAAATATAAAAAAAAAACATAATTATTTTTTAAAAGAAGAAATTTATTTTTTCGTTAATTGCTGTGTTTTGATTTATTTGCGTGAATTTATCAATTTACCCACTTAAATTTTGTTTTTTGTTTTTTTTTAAACTTAACTTATTAAATAATACATTAAGAAAATAGATGTAACTATGATTATATTAAAATACAATAGTTACAATAAATAAAATATTGCTTTCATTTATTTTTCATTATTTTTTCTAATCTATTCAACAATTTAAACCAAAAACCAAAAAACAACAGGTAAAGATTTAGATTGTAAATATAAATTGTAATTTATTCATATATTTATTTATTTGGTTTTCATAGTTTTGGAAGTTTTGGATAGTTTTGGCACTTTTGGTCCTCCATAGCCTGGCTGCCACAGAGGACAATAATACCCACTGTGATGATGGTTCACACTTAAAGGCATCAGTTCACACCAGGAAAGCAAACTGGGCATTAGTCAGTTTCGGGGCCTTTAAAGTGGTCGTGTTTAAGAAGTTGATTACAGAGTCAATGCTGCTCTATTTATAGTTGAAGCAATGTTAAAAGGATCCAACTGATTAAAACAAAAAGACACAATCAGTTTTTGTTGACTGGTCAAATAAACATTTTTGCATGACTGTGGAAAAATGTGATTTGTACAAGAGTGTTAATTCTGGGGTCGGGCACACGTGTGAGTATTCAGAGCCGTCGTCATAGTGACCACAGATGATGAATGACTTTGTCTCCCGGCTGTTTTAACAGTTGTTTTAACATGCGCTCCACCATCTGAGCTAACACGGCACTAGTCGTACGTTTGTACCCATTAACCGTCAGGACCTCCTGCGTGCAGCCGATCCGATAAGGAAATCGCAGCTTATGCACGCTTTTTCCAGGCAACATTTATTCTAAGAGAGTTTATGGAAACACAAGAAGAGGCTGGCAGCAAATGTAAAGTGAGGGGAAGGTTTCCACCGCTCTGATGCATCTTCAGTTGATAGCAATGGGCATCCAGGCTCAGATGCAGCATCCAAGTTTGCATTCTGATCGCTACTGGAAAGAATTCTGCTCAAGCGTGCTGATTGCACTAACAACAGTGGGTGAATACTTCACCAAGCTACATGTTTTATGGTGCTTTCACCACAAAGACTAAACACAGTCATCTGTTATGGTAAGCTTGCTTTTAAAAATAACAAAAATGAGGAGAACTGAAGAGAAGAATGACAGCACCAAATTACGGCAAAGACAGAGCTCTAAATTCAGTCTGTGTGCACTTGTCATGTACCGAGACCCTGACTTAGCAATGATCATTTGGCTGTGCAAACCTTCTCCTTCCAAGCCATAATGCTTCCCCTCTTGTCTGCCTCGCTGCACCTGAACATGGCTGACTTGGCCCAACAGCCCTCCTAATGCGATTAGAACAATTTCCTTTTGATCTCTGGCTTCCACTTCCATGCCAGTTCACACACATAGCAAGGTTTCCTCCGATTCAGTCCGAGACCCCCTGCTGCCACCTTCACATCACCTCAGCTTCCTGTAAAATTACATTCCCTGCTCCCTTTTACCACGTGCTCCTCTGCAATAGCCTGCAAAACCCTGTGGTTTATCGTATATGTATATGCTCCTCTGTACTAAAACACCATATTCCAGTGTTTATCTCTCCCAATCTTGGATATAGAAGAAACACATGATATCAGGTCTTTGATCTCTGTTGCTAGTGATGCTGATTAAATGCATTAACTACAAGATTTTCTCAGAAAGTTGGCGTGTTTACAGTACTGGGGGATGAGGAGAAGCTTTTGAAAGAGGCATTGAGTGGTTGATTGACTTGAATCATCACTTGCAGCAATCATTGTCAACTTTTTCCCAGTGGGCATGAGGTACAAGCAGCCCTGGCAGGGTATCAATCAAGATCCTGTCATATAAATACATTACTATAGTAAAAAGCTTCATTAGCGATCATGTGTCCACTGTTGATCAATGAGAGATTTCACTCACATGCGAATGATGTTCTTTACATTGAAGTTGTCCAGAGGGGAGATATCAGGGTCCTCTCCCTTGTCGTCCTGCATGACGATCTGCTGGAGGATCCGGTCTAAGAGCTGCCAGTGCTGCAGGGTGCCACCACTACGCTTATCTGTTTTTTAGTTGTTGTTTTTTTTCATGAATAAAAAGCTCAATAAGCTCAATATAAAAAGATGAACACTGAAGCAAAG